AAGAGTGGAGCTGCCATGCAGAAAGAACTGGTCAAGATAAATGATCGTTTTCAGTTTGGATCCAAAAAATTTCAGACAGCATTTGACATGGGTTGGCTGGCTGTTAGAAAAGGGGGAGATGGCAATGAAATGACCAAATTCAAAATCAAGGCAGGAGTTGAAGTGCTTTATCTCTGCAAATAAGAGGGTGCAATAACTTCCATCCTACAAAGCTGAAAGAACATGTATTTCATGGGTATGGTAAATCTTGTGTAAAGTCTTTCTGTGAATCCATCAGGTGGGTTGTTGTACTATAGCAAACACAGCAACACCATTCAAGAAAGGATAAGAATGGTTGGAATGAACAGAGGCCTGATAGTCAGATTTCAGAGCTATGCAAGCCTTAGAACAATATTTGAAGGAAAGAATAATTATAGACTTGGAGCTAAGTGGAAAATTGGATGAAATGCAATACAATGGTGTATCATGTCAGACTAACATAATAATGCTATTTAATCAGATAATTGATTTTTGTTTTTCTGACAAAGAAAAAACAGCGGATCTAGTTTTTTTTTTTAGTCAAGCATTTCATGTGATACAGCAGTGGGAATTTATTACTTAAACTGTTTCAGTGTAAAAATTACATTAGCGGGTAAGGAACTAATTGAAGAGGTACAGCAGGTCATGCTGAAAGATTAAACTATTAGTGTGGAAGGTAGTGACAACTAACTTCTGAAGAATTAGTCTTAGTAAATGGCTTTATTATTGAATGACAAAAAATAGGATTATGGTAATGAAACTTGCTGATAAGAAATTAGGAGGTATTGTTACTCTAGAAATAGATAAGGATATCATACACAAAGAACAAGGTGACTGAGTAGAGTAATAAAAATGGGATGGTGTTCAATATGCAAGATTGTATACTTACAAACTAATACAATGGATAATTTTCAATAGTGGTGGTTGAGTCAGGACTTCAGAAATACTGATTTGATTAAAAGCATGGTATAGAGAGGATACACCCCGGGCTTGTTGCTGTTCCAGCCTTACTATGTTTTCTGTCTGTGTGGAAAATGCCACTGGAAGTATTTGTAAATCACTGTCTGGCTTTGGACATAGTTCCAGGTAGTTGAATTTAAATGCAAGCGATACAGAGGAAGACTTTGTCATTAATTGTGCTTAATGAGAGTGATGGCACTAAGTGGTTCTGTATTCATTTCACAAAGCTTGGCATGGACTGAAGGGTTGAGTTGACTCTGATGCAGTAAATCTCTATCTTTGGGGTTTCAGTTTGATTGAAATTGCACACACAGTTCAGCCTTAAAATTCTTTAAGAATATCCTGAGCAAACTGTGTAAAACAGACATTTTGTTCTTGGTTGATCAAAATAGTAACATAGCAAAGGGAGCCACGGATAAGATTTGACTGAAGCTTGGTGTTCTTTAGGTAAATCTCCTCTATTCCTATTTCGTTTGTTTGGAAGAGTGTTTTCTAGACTTTTTTTTTCTCTCAGTAGTTAGGAGACTCCAAGGTTTGCCATTCTCCAGTTTCCATAACATTTCTCATG